TTCCCTCTAGTCTTACACTGCTAAATTAGGGACGGCTAGCGCAGATAGCCCTCGTGTAACTTTGCGCGAAATTCAAACCACATTATATTAAGAATTTAAAGCCGTAAAAATGTTAATGTTGATGCAATGTCTTGTTGCTTTATCAAATATCTTCTTTCTTGGTGTTAAGACTTTAAACTGTATGTAATAGCTTCAAATACTAAACACAATTAATTCAGAAAAACCTTCAAAAATAATATCGGAAAAGTTAACCACCGATGATAATTTAGTATATTTAAGATATTAATATCCAAGTTGATAGAACAATATTGTTAAGAGTAAGAAAGTTAAACGAGGTAAAATTGATTAAGACGTCTGTAGCACTGTTATGCTTAGTATACATGGCTCGAACACAGATTTTTTTTGTCAAGCTAATTTTCAACATACACTCTTTTAGTGCAGCCCCCACTGACGCAGCGGTATGTCTGCGGACTTTCAACGCCAGGAACCGGGTTTCGATACCCGTGGTGGGCAGAGCACAGATAACCCTTGCGTAGTTTTGTGCATAACTAAAAAAAAGCAAACAAACAAAACTTTTAGTGCAAAACAAAAATTTTATATTAATTTCGAAATTGTTTAAATTGAGTCCAAAAATTATTAATTTTAAACCTTTATCTCTGTTGAATCTAAATTAGTGATTTAAAAATCATCCTACCTTAAACGTTACGACAGTCTTTGATTGATAATTTTCTTTAACTTGTATTTTAGTTTTTCTAACTGACGAATCTTAATTCCTTAAATGTTCGTTGTCACTGTGTGTGTTGCTGTAACTTTGTAGATATAATCAACATTTGTCGCAAGTCTCTTAAGAGCTGATTAACTTAATTTTTCATTTTATAAGTCGTTTCTTCTCGTAAACTGTATAGATTACTGTTTGATAACCGAGTTATTTAAACGTGTAAATGTCTTTAGCCACATTGCAAACATTTTAGCATTTAACATTACGTATATTGTCAAGTTCAATCAAAATACGCACGTAGGAAATATTTCCCAAAACTCTCTATTGTCTTAGCATTTATTTATTTTGTTTGTTTTTTCTTTACAATGGTTAAAATCGCACATAATACTTCATTTATAGAAGTCTGTGGTATTATAGTTTAGATCATAGTAAAAGTGTTAAGAATTTCAAGAATTCTTTTTAGCGGGTTATTTCGGTAGAAAACATAATACACAAAAATAACATTTCAACATCTTATATTTGCCTAAAAGCAAGACCTTGTGTTCACTCCTACAACATATCAAAGAAAGCTCACATACGTCCAAATAAGACGAATAGATAGTTTTTACCAATTATCCTGGTTAACAAATATTTCGCTCACAAATGAAATTAGTGAAAACTAATGAGTCATTTTAATCGAATGTTTGTTAAACAGGTTATTGTTTTTCGTGTTTGTTTTTTTAAACAAACTATTTTAATTGTGTTCAGTACCAGGGCTGCTATAAAAGCCAAGCACACTATTGGTTTAAATGCCAATTGAAGAAAATCTTGAAATGTCAAGCTTAAGTGTATGATACCTAATTTATTGAAGTGTGAAAAACTTTCTAACCTACGTGACGTGTCACATCATAGTGGATTATTGATGTTTTCAATTATATAGTTCTGGTAGGTTATTTGAAGACAATCAGCTTGAAACATTTAAAGACAACATTATAGTCTTTTTTTTATTGCTATCAATGTTTGCAGAATTTCCAACAAGCCATACATGGTCGAACAGGTGGACTTGATAACCGGAAGTAAACTTATTTATACAACATTTATACAAATATACAAAGAAATTGTTTTCAGAGGAAAAAACATTAATAATGTCGTCTGACCAAAATGTACATCATATAATTACGTCTTTCATAGAACAATTTTAAGCTATTTCTTTTTACTTTCAGATTTTATAATACTGGTTCAACTTTTATTTGATATTCGAGTAACATTTATAAAAAGTGTTGAACTTAAAATCTGATAATGCGTGAGCTCCATAAATAACGAAATACGGTGAATGGTAACATCTATCAACTCTAGTATTGCACGAAAATATGAGATAGCTAAGGTGGTATAGATAAATACTTATTTCTAATTGAAAACTAACGACTGTCGAGTTAAAAATGTAACTCCGAAAACTCTGGTAATTTTTTGGAATGTTTCTATGGCATAAGAATAGCTAGTTAGACTGTGGCTCAGGTCACGCTAGTTAGTACACATTAACTAGACAGACGTTTAGGAGCTCACAAGGCGTTCGTGCTGTTAATATCAAAATTTCAATAGTAACTAATAATTTCTCCTTTACAAACGTTGTGTTTTGTCAGTTATTTATAGTGGTAATATAAAAATCACGAAAGGAATAAAGTAGTATAATATAAGCCAGTTTCACTTGTCTTTTTCTTTGTGTCTGTTTATGAACAATGTAATTGTTTAGAGTTAGATTTGTATTGCACTTGAACAGTTGGTCGAAAGACTTATTCTACGTATGTTAAGTTATTGTATTTTTTTTTTACGTTTTAAAATATATTCAATAGCTGAATTTAACCTATCGTGCCTTTGTAAACAATTTTCCCCCCGATGTTTGAATACATTATCTGTAAGCACTCGCATCTTGTTATATTTCTGCACTTGTATCTATTACCTGTGTACCAGTACATGTATATAATAAAGGTAGTGACACTGAAACTGAAACCTTTTAATGTGGCATAAAATGAATGTATAGTGTCGCTTTGTTTCTTATGGATGAGATGTTGAAGAACATATGACGAAAAAAAAATGGTTGAAGAGATTAGAGCAAGATACACATTTGTTTGGTAGATAATTTAGGCAGAGTATTCATACTGAGCTGACTGTTAAATGGGTGGCTACTGCCTATTATAGAAACACTTGTAAATATATATAGGTGACCCTACAATCTACTATACAGCTCAAGTGTAGAAGACGACGTTTCGAAAGTCTTCTGCCTTTAGTCTGGTAATAAGAGGTCACCATGCTAATCCCTGCTGGGAAAATTAGTCACGATGTAAGGGACTAATGCTGACGTATTTTAGTTTATTAAGTTTTTCTTGATATATAAAACTTCCTCTTGAAAGACGTCTTTCAGTATAGCCTTGGTATTTCATATTTTAGAAACTAATTAATTTAAGAACGAGTGAAAAGAGAACATTGAATCGTTTTTTGATAGCATGATGTTCTTCGCATGGCTATGTTTTGTCATTTAGGAATTTTCGTCTGCAACAGTAGAAAAAAAACTTTCGTGGCAAAAAAAAACAGAAACAAACTTTTGAATAAATAAAAAAATGCATACAATTCATATAGAATTCACAAAAAATGTGAAAAGAAACTTTAAAACTTGTGAAAAGAGAAGACCACTGGATGACAACTCTAGTTAGAATTTACTCATATGGGCTTAACGATGTTAAAAATTAAGGTAATTTTGTCAAAGCTGTCAATTTTTAAATAATCTGTATTTTTCTCACTCAACGGATTACACATCAGTAACGTACTCAAGGGCGTAAATACAGGAACGTTTACTAAGAGACCACCTAGAAGTTTATCAAACTAAAGGTCTCAGAGGTTTATACGTTATCTTATAAAAGCTAATAATTTTACTCAATGAAACATAAATACAGGTCTCATTACGTTTGACGAGCAATATAGGCTAGCTAGTATACTTGCTATTTGTCATCAGTAAAACCAAAAACAACAAAAGCTAATATAAACATAAGGGTTACCTTATAATTCTATTTATTGACAGAAATACAAAACTAGTTATTAGAATCTATAGTCATATAAACTTCTATACAACTATTATTAGTTAACACTTGTGTGGCCACTGATGGCTCAGTGGTAAGTCTGAGGGCTTATGCCGCTAAAAATCGGGTTTGGATATCAGAAGTGGGCAAAGCACAAATAGACTATTGTGTTGCTTTTTGCTTAAGAACAAACAAATATTTTTAAAAATAAATACCCAACTATTAGCTATTCTTGCAAAATAGCCATCGGCAGTAGAATCTTTAATTAAAGAGTATTATATAACATAACCTTTGAGGAGATACGCAATATTTTATCCTCTCAGTGCGAATGTAATTCCTCTTCTTACAGTTATTCTCCCATCGACCACGTACGTACTCACGTACGGTGGTGATCTGAACACCGTAACAAATGACAATTTTATACAATTGATGAGAAAATGTCCTAAATTCCAGGAATGTCCAAAACTTTGTTGAAAACGCATAAACAAGTAATTAGTATATCACTCAATAACTTTTTTACTGAAATTGAGTAAAACATAGAACTTAAAAGCAACTATTTACTAGAATGGGCAAACAAGAGTTAAAGACATAGTGAGGAAATTCACTATTAACAACAATGAACATCTTATGAATAAAAAAAAAAAGTTCTTGAATACTTAGATTATTTAAATATTAGATATTTCACTCCCGCCGATAAAGAAGCTAATAACTTTGTTTTCATTTGTAAAATACTTTATACAAGGTAATCAAAAATTGTTAATTTAAAAAGGGAAATAGGAAAACATCTAGTGAGTATATTTTCGATTTTGCTGCTGGTATCTCTCGGTGA